CTCAGATTCTCCAGCATCTGCAGTTCCTACTATCTCCATTAGAAACTTGTGATGTTTTTGAGTGGTGATAATGCAGTTAGTCTTTATTTTGCAGTTTCCAATATATGAGCCAGCTCTATTCATAGAAGTGAATGCAAGAGGTTAAAAGTTTCCTTTTCTCACCGGGCATTTCTGGATATTACAGAGTATAGTTATGGTTTTCACCCCCGCTTGTCTTTTGAATGCTGTGATGATTTTTCTTTATTCATTCATGAGATGAGGGTGTCGCTGGCTAGGCAGCATTTATTGCCCATTCCTAATTGCCCAGAGGGCAGTTAAGAGTCGACCACATGGCTGTGGCTCTGGAGTCACATGTGGGCCTGACCAGGCAAAGATGGCAGTTTCCTTCCCTAGAAGACATTAGTGAGCCAGATGGGTTTTTCCTGACAATCAACAATGGATTCAAGGTCATCATTAGATTCTTAATTCTTGAAATTTATTGAAATCAAATTCCACCATTTGCCATGGCAGGATTTGAACCTGGGTGCCCAGAATGTTATCTGGGTCTCTGGATTTACAGTTCAGTGATAATACCACTAGGCCGTTGCCTCCCCCACTTAACTAAAGGATGTCGAAACCTCGGCAACTTTATAGAAATCCAGCTTGAATTCAGTAGCCTGTCATAGTGTAAAAGTGAATGTAGCCTCTTCCCGTCAAAACCATTGACTCACTTAATCCATCCAGTTTTCTTTTGAAATCATTCAATCATCTTTGCTTCTACCTAGGTAGGCAGCAAGTTTAATGTTTTTACCAGTTGTGTAGAAATAAAGTTCTTCTCACAATCATCCATACCCGCTTATTTTGCCTAAAACATTGTCTGTTTCCATGTCCACCAATAGTGGGAATAGCTAATCTACTTTATTTAGACATAGCATGATGAACACTTGTATCAAATCACCGCTCTATCTCCTTTGCTCTAACTTTGCCAACCTGCACTTGTATCTAAAACTCCTCATCCCTGGTACCATTTAATAAATCTCCTTTTCGCCATCTCAAAGATATGCATTTCCTGAAGGGTGGTGAAAAGAAGGCAGTGTTTTCCTAATTAAAGCTTTGTAAAGGTTCATCATAACTCCTGTTTTTGGAGACTTCTACATAAGAAGCTGTAAATTCTATTTGCTTTACTAACTACTCTCTCAGCATGTCCTGCCACCTTTAAAGATTGATGCACATAATCTTTCCCAGGTCCTTTTTAGAACTATGTGGTAAGCTGATTGTTGTGTCTTAACTGCGAAGAATGTGCCATTAATTTTGTCTCACTGCTGCATAGGTTATCACGGACATATAAGAATTCCAAGTGAGACCACAAAAACTCAGTTTGTCTGAATATCTGTTACCCAGGTGAAAAGCAAACTACATCAGATTGCTTCAGTAGCTGTCAAAATGGCTATTAATCGTAAAGCTCTTAACTTTAACACGAACTGTGAACAGAAAGGATTTCTAATTTATGCAATTTAAGATGTACCCTTTCAAACCTCAAACATGCAATACCCCAATCATGATCACGACTGACTAAAGGTAAATAATAATATTTACATGGAGAAGGAATATAGACAAGCTGAAAATCAAAAGTCCATGAGTTGAAAATCCTTTGTCTGTTTGATTTTTGCAATGGTGAGACATTCTTGTTTGCTGGTGATGGCCATCCTTTGATTCAATGGCTCATACTTAGGTTAAGTTCAATTTGCTATTGTGCTTTTCTGCTAGCACAGTTATATTCAGTTACAATTTTTAAAATTCACTCATGGGACATGGGCAACGTTGGCTGGTCAGCATTCATGCCTGTCCCTAGTTGCCTATCACCACCTTGAGAAGCTGGTGGTGAACTGCTGCCTTGAACTGCTACAGTTCATGTGCTGTAGGTACGACCAAAATGCAGTTGGGGTATGGGGTGGCTGGTGGGGAAGGTGGGATGGGATTCGAGGATTTTGACCCAGTGACTGAAGGAACAGCGATTATATTTCCAAGTCAGGATACTGTGTCACTTGACAACTTGCTGATGGTGGTGTTCTCGGGTATTTGTTACCCTTTGTCCTTCTAGATGGAAGTGGTCATGGGTTTGGAAGATAAGCCTTCGTGAATTTCTGCAGTGGTTCTTGTAAACAGTACACACTGCCTCTACTGAGCATTGGTGGTAGGGGAAATGGACGTTTGTGGGTATGGTGCTAGGAAAATGGGGTGCTTTGACCCAGATGGTGTCAAGCTACTTGAGTGCTTTTGGAGCTTCATTCATCCAGGTAAGTGGGGAGTATTCCATCACATCCCAGACGTATGCCTTGTAGATTGTAGACAGGCTTTGGGGAGTCAGGAGGTGAGTTACTTGCTGAAGTATTCGTAGACCCTGACCTGCTGTTGTAGCCATTGTATTGATAGCAGCAAGTTCAGTCTGGTCTGAAATTAAAAATCTAATGATCATGAAACCATTGCCAATTATCATAAAACCCATAAAATTTACATAGTCTTTTCGGGAAGGCATTCTGCTGTTTTAACCTAGTCTGGCCAATGTGTGACTTCAGACCTACAACAATGCGGTTGACACTTGAAGTGGTTCAGCAGATCACTCAGTTGTGGTGTGTAATCAAAGCATAGGTACCAGAAGTGACAATAACAAACATTGTCTTAGCGACCCTTGTCTCCTGAACATCTGGGGTCTAGTGCCAAAGTTAGAAACACTGTCTCATTGAGTAAATCATCCAGTGGCCTGAATTGTCATACTCATGAAATCATACCTTACAAGCAAATATCCCAGGCACTACCATCCTGACTGTATCTTGTCTTTGGGACAAGTGTGATGATATGTGTCTTTGAGAAGGATCTGTTCTGTGTTGTTTCTCTTGCAAAGAGGTGTGTGCAGTGGTGAAGGAATACTTCAGAAGCAATGGATAAACAGATTGGAGCTTAGTTCTTTTAAAAATGAGAAACGTGAGTGGGTGGAGTCAGGTTGCCTCGGACCCAGCGTTTTAGTTTTGCTTTTGGTTGAAGTTGGGTGTTTGGCGAGTTGGCTGTTGAAGCTGCTGGATACTTGCCTGTCTGCTGCAGCTAAAAGTTTGAGTTCTTTTTCTGCTGCTGAATTGTATCTTTTGGAATTCCTTTCTCCTGGACTGGAGATAGCTGTTTTGCTGAGTTTCCTTTTGCCAACGGTGTGTTCCAAGGATGTTTGGAACAGTTGTTGATTAGTAGTTAAATAACATATTCTTTCATTAAGTATTTCAATAGAGTTAAAGTTGTGCCTTTTTCTTGTTTGTATTTTAACTGTGGTGTAAGAATAAAGTGTGTTTTGCTTGAAGCCTAGTAGTTTGACCAGTCGAATCACATCTAGAACACGGCACCTTTATATTTGCCGTTAAATGAGATAAAAGTCAGGGTCTGTGCTGTCTCCTTGATATATTTTGAGGGGGCTTTGGCTGGATCATAAGAAACTGGGGGCTCTTGTTGGGATCAAATTCTGTAATTCCCGGTTTGGTTTAGAATTATTGAACTCAATGACTGTGAATGGGGAGTTTTGGTATTCCCTTTTCAGGTGTTCAGTTTGTTTAAATGGGGTGTGCCTTGTGTAATAATGGCTCTTTTAGAGGCTGAGTTTGCCGGGTCAGGTAGAAGTCATTTGGGGTGGTTTACAGATAGTGAATAAGGT